AAGCTAGGCGGCTGAAATTTTGGTATAGTGTTCCCCGCCAACGGGTGACGCGACAAATTTAAATTCCGTCTTTCCGTATTCGCGGGTAACATGCACGGTCCCGTAAAATTTTTTCGGGTAAAATCAGTATCTCGGGAACTACGGAAGCTAGAAAGCTAAAATTTTATGGGTATGTTCCATGACCACTTGTGACCTGGAAAGCTCAAATTCAACCTTCCTGCACCCGCGGGTAACACGTACGACACCGAGAAAATTTTTGATGGGTAAATTAATATCTCGGGAACCACGGAGTCTAGGAAGCTGAAATTTTAGGGTAGTGACCCCCTGCACACGCTCAACATTGCCTATTCAAATTCAGCGTTCCCGCACTCTTGAGTATCACCTACGGCCTAGTGAAAACTTTGGCGGGTAAAATAAGTCAGGAACCACGGAAAGATATTCACTCTTCAAGGTTTCGAATTCAGCTTTTATGGCAGGTGCGTGAAATTTTTAACTATTTTCCAATGTTTGAGCTATTTCTGCATAGATAAAAGTACAAAGCAGTGAAAATCATCAATAGGCAATCGTTCGATGTGCTGAATTGCACAAAACGCATGATCGCACCGGCTAGACTGGTGCGCGCTACTATTTATTACTTTTATTTTCATTCTTACTTATTAATTTTTAGTTACAACGTTTTTCATAACCATAAAATATTTAAATTTAAATGTTATACCAAAAAATTTTCAAGGTCAAACCCCTGTAAATCGAGCTGTAGCGACCTGTTAATTGAGGGCTCATCAAAAATTCTACCTCGAATATCGCTGAACAGAATGACCAGTTTTTCTTCGGATGCACTATCGAGCCATTCCACACGATCCTCATAAACATAGAAACTGCCAACCGGTGATCTCGCGGCACCAGACATCCGATACTTGACGTGTTCCACGTGCAACAACAGTTCCCTGTGTGACATCGTTTCCAGTGGACCCTAAAAGTGCAGGCGAAAAAACACACCCAAAATGGTGAAAAAAGTGGCAAAAAAGCCTCACCTACGTGCAAAACCCCGGTGTATCCTTACAAAGGGCTTCTGCATCGCAGGCTTATCCGGTAAGCGAAATAGCAACTTCGCTACAAACATCATAGAAGCACTCCAATGGTGGCGCAGAGTGCAAATCGAAACTCATTTTAGGTATACGATTTCCCAAATCAAGCAGCTTGCACCCGGATTTTGTGCTGCTACATTCGTAGTATCGAATTTCTTGCGTGGGCGGGATTTTACTTATCGCATACACGATTGCAAGCTGCCGCCCCGCAGCATCAAAAATTCTTGCTCAGCATGAAAAATCCATATAAACCCTCCAGAATCCCCACATTCCCCGCCCTCAAATCCTACAGCAATCCCTCGCCCCTCCCCCCAGCCTCTAACCCCGCCCCCGCGCCCCTTCCCCGGTTACAAATCCCGAGACCTAAGCCAACAAACTGACCTCCTACACGCCCCCTACCGACCCCAGTCATTGCAACACATCTCCGAACCTGATTAAGCCTATCCAGGCGAGTTTCTGGCAAATAGCCAAACTGAGGCGCGAAAATCTTTGGTCTGAATGGTTTTGCGGTTTGTGGCGGCTACCGGCGGTAAAAACGAATGAGCGATTACTGAGGTTTGGGTCGTGGGCGGGACGAAGGGCCTCCTGTCCCTCCCCTACCCATTGACACAGGCACCAGTGCTGCAAAAGTCCGGGTCTGTTCATAAATAAAGCTAAAGTAACTCTAAGTAGCAGTGTTACAACTCTATTCCTAGTTTTTGCATAGTTCCGGAGTGAAGTGGGGTGGCGGGAGGGAGGGGTTTATGGTAAGAAATGCATACGACTTAATGGACCGAAACATTTCTTAACAATTATAATAATTTTATTAAAATAATTTTACTACTTTAGTGCCTCGGCGCAAAATGATCCATCAATTCTCTATCAATATCTGTTATAATGGATGAAGTGTCCAAGCGTATTCCATCGTATCGCATTATACAGTCATCCAATTTTTTTTCAGCACAGTCCTCAGCACTAAGAATATATATATTTATGAAAAACTAATCAAACAAGTGAGAGAAAATATTCAAAAAAAAAAAAAACTTTATAACAATTAACACCAAAATATTTCTTACCGTTATAGTAATTTTATTAAAGTGATTTTACTACTTTTACTAATTTCTTAATATTA